TTTAGCGTTTTAAAGTTCTTTTTGTTGTTGTTTGTTATGAAGCACAAAGCTACACAAAGGGATAGCTGTGCTCTGCCTACCACGGGTATCGAAACCCGGTTTCAAGAGGTATAAGTCTGCAGACATACCACTGTGCTACTGGGGGCGTTTTAAAGTTAACGACTTAGTTGATGTTCTTCAATCGATAATTGCAATCTAAGGATTGCGGGTTCGAATCCCCGTCCCACCAAACATGGTCTTTCTTTCAGCCGTGGGAGCGTTATAATGTAACAATCAATCCCACTATTCGTTAGTAAAAAAGTAGCTCAAGAGTTGGCGGTGAGTGGTGATGACTAGCTGCCTTCTCTCTAGTCTTACACTGCTAAATTAGGGACAGCTAGCGCAGATAACCCTCGTGTAGCTTTACGCGAAATTCAGAGAACAAACAATCAATCGATAATTTATTTGGCTATTGCTAAAATAGCTCCGTTTGTCACGAAATCGATCGTAAGAACGCATATGATGTAATGAAAGTATGTGGACAAATGAACATTAGTTAGACTATTAAAACATGCTTTAAAACACGTAATACGATCGTTATTCGTTTCCTTGCCTGCTTGGTAAATAATTAAACAAAATTAAATCTCGGTATTCTACTGGCAGCTTAACCGACTAGAAGCAAACCAACAATCATGTTATTAATTTGATAATAGTTTCTCTTTTTCACTGTTATTCGTATTAAACACAAGCTGAAATGTAGAAAATGAAGAAAAGCAAAACGTGACCGTATTTCACGTTTCTTTTCACGAGAACGGTTTCTGTTATTTGTTAAAACAATAATAGATAACAGTAAAATTGTAATGGGTAGCTAAATAGGTAACCAAGAAAGAAAAATTTTTAATCTAGATTTTTTTTGTGGCACAGCGGAATGTCTGCAAACAATGCTAGAAACGGGGTTTCGATACCTGTGGTGGGCAGAGCACAAGTAGCCCATTGCGTAGCTTTGTGTTTAATTCCAAACAAACAATATACTAATATATATTGTTATTATTATATATTATATTCTTTGTGGAATAACTATCCTTACTTATCCTATACGTCTCAAGATATAGTTTTCTTCAAACCATAAATGTATGTTTCATCTAATCTATAATAATATTATCTCTTGATATTAAAGGATCGTATGTCATGAAACAGGTATTTTGTGTTACCCGAGTTTTGTTTCTCTAGTTTCAAAGTAACCAACATATTAATCTTAAACATTTCCCGCTCTCGATACTTATGGCCTAGGAGTTCCTTGTTCCATGAACGTATTCAATACATTAATACATGCGTGACGTTGAAAAAAAACATGTCATAGAAATAGATAAAAGCTAACAAAGCCAGTAGTTAATTACACACACACTCATATATATATATATATATATATATATATATTTCTAGAAGCATTATATCCTAATATTAAGCCAATAAATTTGATATTTGATCCTGTTCTTGGGCGTGTTTGTGCCTTCTGTCATAACACATTGAAATCTAATACAAGTGTGTATTACTACGTATTTATTTAGTCAGTGAGTGATAGTGTACTCTTAAATTAATTACGTCTTTAGTTTACTCATATAAGCATCAAATGTTCTAGAACTTATAGGCTCATTCCTTAAAACAATGATTTGTTTTTATGTTTCCTGAAAAAATATCACTTATCAATAGCAGTATTGAATAAATTATGAAAACTTGAAACAGAAAATTCCTTAACACGGGTAATGTTATTCAGTATAGATTTTTTATTGCTGTTAAACTAATCTCTAATACTTTTGAACTTTTTTTATTCTAAAATTGTTTCAAATTTATAAATATAAAATGGGTTGGTACGTTGCATTAAAGCGATTTTTGCAAATCAACAACTCACGTGAAAACCACAGCCGATATAAAGTCGTGGTGGAACGGCATGTATCAAATTACATTTTGACATTGAATATTTTGCGTAGGAAAGACCAACGATGACATCACACTTCCTACAAAATTCCATAATTGGATCATTGATATGACATTCAAAAGTTTTAGTGCATACTGGAGAGATTTACACATTTGTATAAACAGTTTAGCAAAAACGACCTTTACACTCCAGATATATACAAAAGAACTTTTTTATTTTAAACAACGTTTTAGCTTCATCATGGTTAAATATACACAACTATTTGATATTAGACTATTCGTTAAACACTGATAAAGCCGCTAGGTGAAGTGTTGGTTAAATATAATTATTTTATGTGTGTGTGTGTGTGTATATGGAGAATAAAGGTCGTTTTTTCTAACCTTGATAAATATGTCTTCCGATGGCTATTTAGATATTCCAAAACGGGGATATATCTTACACTTACTGGCATTGGAAAAACGAAGGAATATGAATCAACTTGGGGAACTAGAACAATTCAGAAAGAGACCTGCAACAAGTCATACTCCAGCTGTATTACACAAATTATGGCATCTTTTAACAGGCTTGAATCCACGAACACATAGGTCAGAGGCAAAAGCCGTCCACGCGTCGCAGGCAACAGTACGCAACATAATAGTGAAGGATCCCTGTCTGTAAAAGAGAGACACATGCTGCTTCTACGACATATTGGTTCAAAAGTTGTATACATCAAACAGCTGGATAGTGAAACGAGTATTCATACTCGTCTATACAAAAATATAACGAAACCTTTTGAAATGAAAAGTATTCTACAGGGCTATTGTCAACCATCACATATAGAGTATGACTGGACGTGGCGACATGGACAGTAACAACGTAGTAAGGCTTCAAAATCGTTTTAAAACAACGTACTCAACATCTGTATAGACATTATAATATCACTGCAAGAGTCACTGATCACATAGTGAAAAGGAAAGGAAAATAGATAGATATATGGATAATTAAAAAGGTAGAATTTAGTTTCATCGTTGCAGAGCAAATAGTGTGAATATAAGATAACTTAGATTTTGACAGAATTTTTAAAACAATTATTAACATTGAAATATCTCGCACATGACCCATATTTAATCAGAACATAATACAATATATTTGTATATTTTAAACGACGTTGTTCGGAGTCTTTTGGTGCAAAGCAACGAGGCTATCTGCAATAAACAACTCATGTTTGAGTGAATCCAGCAAACAACAACAACAAGGAGTTAATGACAATTTTTGATCTACGTGACAGAACAATTTAATGCGTAGTTAACATCATTGACAGTCATTAAGTATTCAACAAATTTCTGGTAAAACTAATGTTACGAAAGGTTATGGCGAAAACTAGAAATATTTTGTGTAGAGTTGTTGATTGTATTAACTGTACACACTTTATATGCAAGTCTGAAAGATCTACCTAGGTGTCTCTGACAGTACGAATGAATGAGCATGTTTTTGTTTTACCTTTCCCTGGTTATTTTATCCGTGCTTGCGTGTAAGATTTTAAATTCAAACGTTTGTGTAATCGAACGTTATGTTTTGGAGACATGCTTCTTTTTTTATTCTTGCTGTTGTCTCGGTTGCAAAATGGGTTAACTTTATTTCTTTTATCAATAAAAGAAACATTATTATATTCTGTGTTACTGTCGTTTATCATTTAAATCTCATGTATAAAAACAAGCAACTAAATTAATAGGATAAGGGAATTTTGATCGTTGTTTTTTTCATAGTTTCCACGCAATGTTTAAACTGTTAAACTGCGCGTATATTTCATAGGTTTAATAGGTGTATTTCCCTAATTCTTTTACATTTAAAGACATGTACAATTGTGACTTGAGTTTCACAATGTGATGATTATGACAAGCCCACATTTGCTTAATTAAGTAAAATGGGTGGATATTCCAGACCTTCCACTGCTATCAGATAGTGCAAGAATTATGAACATTTTAAGAAGTTCAAAATGTTCACTAGGTAGAAAATCAAATTAACCAGTGAAAGGTTTATAGCAAAGCCCATAGAAACATTTGATAGTAATCCTTCTCATCTAAGCATTCCTTCTAATTACTGGAATTACTCCTTTAATTACTTTTGGGCGGAAGATTCTCGCTTCAAAGAAACAGGAATTTAATTACTTTTCTAAAACTTTATTTTATTACGTTAAAACTTTAACATGTTTTCTGCTCATGTAAACAATTTAATTCCAAATCTTTGATTATCAGTTACTTTACATTTTGATTGCATCTTTAAAAAGCTTGTTGTTACAAGGTATCCTTATAGTAAAATTGACAAAGCGAGTTATAAACCTAATGAAAATATTTTCTGTAGAGAGCATATATGTCTCAATAGAACACTGATCTGTATTCTGTTTAAACATGTAGTACGTTCTCTAAATAAGATATTTTCATCATGTTTATAAATCGATTTTGTCAGTTTTATTGTTGTATTAGCATAATGTGTTTCCATACATCAATACAATTTATTAAAGATCTAAGCCTTTTTTTTTCTTTAAAAATAGTCGTTATCTGGTACCACGGTGGGACAGCTTAAAGTCTACGGACTTACAACACTAAATTACGGGGTTCGATTCCCTGCTCTAAACAAAACATACACATTTATCTGCACTATAAATCTTTGGTCAAAAATACACTGCGAGAGGTATACTGTGTATGAAATAGCCGCTTAATTTCATATGGACAACTCCTGTCATCTGACTAGTTTTTGGGACGATGTTTTAGACACTCTGCTGAGTTCGAATAAAGAACTTGGCACATAATTCAGAGAACTCGATTCCAAAACCAGGGAAAATGCAGAAGTAATCCATATGAAACGTTAACATGTCAACATACTGCTTAAAGCCTTCCTTAAAAGAACATAGCCACACTTGTTAAGTAATGATCAGTTTTTAACTCAGAAAACTTACAAAAAAAAGAAGGCGATAGGTAGGCCCATGCATAAGCGGAGGCTTTAGCGTATTTAAAATATTTTTAAATGAATAAATATGCTAAAGTTTTTCTTGTAGTTCATAATTTGTTTACATGTTATAGTTATCGTGTATCCTAACTACTTTCAGTGGCAGGAATTCGATGTGTACAATGTTTGTCAGATGTGGATCCAGAATGTATAAACAATCCTCCTCCAGCCAAGATCTGCCACGGCAAGGACATGCTTTACTGTATTGTGATCGAACAAAGAACACCTAGTGGTAAGTTCATTAATTTAGTATGTTACCCCTGCTGCTTTAATGACGCCCTCCGGTGGCTCATCAGAGTAAGACTGAGGAGCTCATAACGCTATAAACTGGGTTTCGATACCACTGGTGGGCAGAGCACATACAGCTTTGTGTAACTTTGCGCTTAGCAATAAACAAAAAAAAACCTTTAATGACTCTTGAGTAATTATTTTAATCTATTTTCTACGACATCAAAAAGTATCAGTAATATTCTCAGTTGTATTTCAACTATTCTTCTTCTGATGATGAATGGCTTGACAGTGGACTTCTAGCTAGTCATCATGATGCCATTTTATATTATTGTTATGGGTCGTGGCTGCAGCTGCTATATGTTATCAACATTGTTAAAATATAAACAGTCTGATTAGAAATTTGATATTCATTATTATTATTATAATAATAAAAAACGTGCCAGTAGAGTTTGGTTTGCTTACCTTCCATTAGAGGCGCTTTTGATCATAAGAAGTTGGATCTGTACATTTTTGGTTTCGTTTGGTTGTTTGACGCAAAGCAACTAGGCTATCTGCGCCAAACAAATACTATAGAATGTAAAAAAAGAAAGAAATGTAAAAGTTAAACAATACCCCAAAAATCAGGTAAAAATGTTTAATAGAATGAAAAAGGCTAATGGCCCGTAAAAAGCTAAAAACATGTCGAAAATGGTGCCGCAGTGTACAATTTTGCCAGCAGTAATTTATCCAAATAATTAATAAGGATGTATAAAGTTTCATTTGTATATTCACCGTAACATCTGTTTTCTGTGTTCAACTGTTGGTGTTTAACTGGAGAGTTATGCAAATAAAGAAAATGTAATGATTAGAATAAATTTATTTTTATTATATAATTTGTTGTTTGGGATTTACTGGCGCAAAGCAATGTTACTTAAGTAAGAACCGGCTCTTAGTAACATGACGTGATAGTTTCACAACTTGATTTTGATAAGATAATGCATGATCGATAATTGAGTAAATTTTGAAACAGCTGTTTATGGAATAATAGAATTATCTCAGTACGACATTTCGTCTCTAACAGATGATCATGTACAACATTCAACGTACAAATACGCCGAATCAAATAACTGTATTTATGATGATTGGACGTGTTTATAATTTGAATGTATTTGTACATAATCATATCTCATCGTTAGAGACAAAACGGTGTACTGAAATCTATTGTCCAACAATTAGCTGTTTCAAAACTTTATGCTGTGTTCTGCTGAACTGTGAAAACGCGTCTCCCCTACCATCCTCGCGTTCATAAAGTAACGATATTAACATTTATATTTCTTTTCAAGGCGAACTTCTTCATTTAACAAGAACCTGTAGTCCTGGAGACATCATCACTGAAGAATGTGATGATGGCATCGCCGAGGGAGGACAGACTATATATATTTGTCATCGAGTATGTGGCACGGACGGTTGCAACCGTGGAGCACCTTCTGGTGGTATAACTATTCTACCGCTCTTTGTATTTACTCTTCCCTCCCTCTATATGGTGCATTTATATATCAATAAATTCAGTTTTCACCAGAGCTAAATTATTTTTAGACAAACTTAGTAATTTCAAACTCCATGAACCAAAGGAAAAGTACATTTCAGTAATTATCTAAAGAATGTAGAAAACGGAAAAAAAAACAACAACAACATAAGATCCCTAGAATAGCTCGTCCACTTCAAACTATTTTGTTTTCGTATAGATGTAATATTTCAATACAATGTAAAATATTAATTTATTACACAAAGCATTCTATTTATTACTCACTCTCAGATTTAAAAACCGTTAAAAAGGTAAAAAGAAGTAAAACTCCATAAAAAGTATAAAGGAAATAATTATGTTAGAAACATATTACATAAATACACATACACATTAAATGGTAATATGGATTTGAGTGTGCTGTATTTTTATTCAAGTTCATCTGCTCCTTGACCAGTTGGTGTAGTAATCATTTATAATTTTATATAATGAGAAACAATCAGACGCAATAATACACGTTTCATCTAGAAAATTAAACCTTTAGTGGACCTAAATAATCTAATAATAGTTTAGAAGCTAGTTTAAGTCAGAGGTAATCTGAATATCTTGATTCGAGGCTTTTATGCTATTAGATGCTCTAATTGAAGACCCCAACCAAATTAAACCATAAAAATGAAGTAACTAATATACTGTTATTTGAGTTACTTTTGCATATTTTGTTATCCTTTCAATCACCCCTTTTGCTGTTATGATGACATATACTGTTAGCGCAGGCACTTTTCTGATGACAGGGGCATTTGAAAGGGAATATTTTTCCATTTACCGCGATTTTTTTGAAATTATATCCCCCCTCCCTCCCAAACCAGAAAATCCATGGCCTCCTGTTTAAGATTTTCTAATTTAAGTGATCTCCAGCTTTTCACATTTTCAAATAGAAATTAACAGCTTCTGCAGAAAGAAAGCTATCTAAATAGATAACAACAGAAAAATTAACCCAATAGCGTATGTAACTAATTTAATATACCATTCTAATAGGAATATATATAATGTAATCAAACAAAAACAATAATGACTAAAGTACATTATTCCATCAGTTGATAACTTGCAGCTTCTATCTATTAGCCATATGCAGAAAGTCATCAAAATCTTTGTTACACTTTTTTGTATTCCTTATTCAAGTAATTTGACACTTTATATAAAACAGCTATTTTTTTTTTAATGCGTAACTTATTTTAATAAGTTCTCGTTAAGTGAACTCCACTTAGGCGTTATATGATAGGAAACCAAATCTGTAGAACTTCGGAGAAGATAAACTTATTACAATTATTTATATACATATATAACTTATTGAACTTATTTAAGCACTTGTATGGATACGATTATATTGAGACAAAAATATTACCCGTTATTATTTAAACTCGATTTATTCAAATAAACGTTTAAAACAGTTTTTGTTTGTAATATGTCTGTTTGAAGAAACGAATAGAATTGCTTTTTTAAAGCGTTTCGGTGTTTAACTTTATAAAATTGTAAATTTTGTGGCTATCAATATCAAGTCTCTATGTGGAATTTTATTCAGTAGTACTTTAACAGTAGCTATATTAAGCCTAGTTTCTATGACGTGTAGTGTTTACTGTTCGTGGTATTTGAATAAAATTATTTCACCTTATCTTGTCCAATGTCTTGAACGGAACGCTGCATTAAAATTAAACGATGCAAGAAAATAATTGCCAATAATAATGCTTCTTACTTAAAAAAGAGCCCCCTCCCCCAGTGGCACAGCGGCATGTCTGTGAACTTGTACTGCTAGAAACCGGGTTTCGATACCCGTGGTGGGCAGAGCACAAATAGCCCATTGTGTAGCTTTATGATTAATAACAAACAACAACTAAAACGGAATATATTTGTTTCCTATTGTAGAGTTGAAAACTTTGACTAAATTGCAGTACCCACTTAAATGTGCAAATTAACTCATTTCTTGAGTACAAAAGATTGAAAATGATTCGAAATATTTATAAACGAACTGTCAAATCATTCAGAAACATTTCCGAATTAAGTTATTACAAATCAAGAAGTTAGAACTAACGTGAGCTTTCTAAAACACACGATAATTAGCCCTTTTTTATAGCTTTAAATAAAAGTGAAAAGGTTGGTTGGTTTTTGGGGTATAATGGCGCAAAGCAACGTGGCTATCTGCGCCAAACCGCTGTGTAAAAATAAAAGAAAATAGCAAAAATGAAAACATGTTTAACAAAGCCCGAAAATTAGGTAAAAATCTAAACAGAAGTTAAAAAGGCCAATGGCCAGCAAAAAAGCTAAAAACACAATCAAGTTAGACATCACCAATGACGCCGTCCAACGTTAAGGGTAAACCCTTAGATAATACATGTCTAAAATGGTTCCGCTCACACTTGTAACGACGTCACGAAAGTAAAACGTGGGCAGTTGTGACTTGAGTGTCTGAAAGACCACACTTTGGCGGATCAATCCCACAAAAAAGAAAACGATGATTAAAAAACTGATCAATGCGTAGCCTAGTCAAGAAAAGTTCCTCCCGTTGATCCTTACAGAAACTATACAGTCAAACAACAACAGGTTTGATCTGGAAAAGCTTGTTATGAAGTTGCTCACCCCAAATCGACTGCCAACTGGCGCGGAGCCGGGCTTTGATCACAGGATCATAGTCCATATATGGGACAGGCACGGCTGTGACAGTACCAGAGCAGACGGACTTGTTTGTTTGTTTCTAATTATGCACAAAGCTATACAAGGGCTATCTGTGCTCTGCCCACAACGGGTATCGAAACCCAGTTTCTAGCGTTGTAAGTCCGTAGACATACCGGTGTGCTACTGGGGGGCAGGCGGACTTAACTGCGGTGTCAGCAAGTTCGTACCCACAAATACCGACATGGTCAGGTATCCAGAAAAACTGGACAGAAATGGAAAACAGTGAAAAGTGGGCAGAGTGAGAACTTATATAAAGCTATTTCAGGGCCGATAGAGAGTTGTTTGGGATTTAGCCGCGCAAAGCAAAGTGGCTATCTGTAAATAAAGAAAAACTCTATTAAAAAAAAAGATAAAAAGAAACAAGTTAAAAGCTAAAAAATGTTCAAAAATCAAATAAAAAACTCAAATAGAATTAAAAAGGCCAATCGCCAACAGAAAACTAAAAACATCAAGCTGGACAATGTCACCATCACAAATGACACTGTCCAAAATTAGGTGGTGGGTAAACCGTTATAAAACATATGTCTAAAATGATACCGCCGCTAACGTTCGTAACGGAGGCACGAAAGTAAAATTTGGGCAATTGTGAATCAAATGCCACAAAGGCCACACATCGGCAGATCAGTCCCCCATAAAAGAAATAGATGAGTAAAAAAAAAAAAAACTAATCACAAAACAACTTTCTCCCATGTTTGATCTGGAAAAGCTTGTTATGGAAGTGCTCACCCAGAGTCGCTTGCCAACTGGAGCAAAGCCGTGCCTTTATCACAGGACCATAGCAATTCCAGAGCCAATAGAGAGCTAAGAGAGTCAGGATAAATAGTACAGTTAGTGTACTGCTTAGCTTCTACATGATCCAAGGCAAGAGAAATGGCATACAACTCGGTAGTGAACACAGAATCTGTAGAGGGGATCCTGTGAGCAACCACCGAGCCACTACAAACCATGGCAAAGGCCACTGATCATCTGATTTCGAACCACCCGTGAAAACGGGAACAGAAGAATGGTTCAAAAGATTTTTGGCAAAGATAAGACGGTACTTCTAATCGGGTGTATCTGCTTTCCTCAGATGACTCAATAAAATGTCACAGGTGAGGATGGTACGAACCATGGCTGGATGGACCGATCATCAGACTCAGCAATAGCATCCAATTACAGACCCAATTTAGCCAGCTGCTCCTGGATGCGAATACCAAAAGTAGGAATAGAATACAATCTGTGACGAAAGAGCATAGCGCATTGGGGGAGGACGACACAACCCCAGATGGAGTTGTGTCCATTAAACTCTCCCAGGATTAAAAATGGAGATGACAGACCATCTATTTGGAAAGAGCACAGCCCACTGTGGAAGAAAGACAACCCCAAATGGGATGCTGTAGTAAGAATCAAAACTTAGTAGCTTATTGCAAAGAAAGTTGCAAGTGTCGGATGTAAAAAGGAGGGTCATGAGACTCAGTGTACAAGTGTGGAAAGCTCCTGTGCTGAACAAAAGCCCCAGATGGTGGACAAGGTCCAGCACCTTCAATGCAAAGAGCTTGGCAGAACCATAAACCCATGGTCCAGTTTGGATCATATGAGGGCATGATAGATCTTGAGTATAGAACGATTATATGCTCCCCATGAGGTGGAAGAGAGGACACAAAGGATGTTGAGTGTCCTTATACACTTCATACGTAGCTGCTTGATGTGAGAAATTAAAATAAGCTTACAGTCAAAGATAAGTCCCAAAAAGGGGAAAATAGAAGTGCTGGAGAGATAAGTAAAGCACTTCCCGAGAATATCGGCGATGCTCTGTACATCAGCAACTTTCTGACCATTGGAGAGTAAGATGGAAAGGGGATGGGAAACATATTTCCTATTAATCTGCCGAATCTTGTCCCTGATGACTTCAGAACTGGTGGTAGAAGAAATGCTGGTGGTGAACTTAATTCAAGATTCCTTCTGCCTTTGACGTCTGACCTGCCGAGCATAGGCACGGGCCCTCTGGAAAGCAATACAGTTAGAAAGAGTGGGATACCTGCAAAAGGTATCCCAGGCTAATTTATGAGCCTTCTGTGTCTGCTGGCAGGAGACCATCTATGGACGAGGAAACGTGTCGGGGTTTTTGGAGATAGAACGAACAGCTGCTTGAATTATATAATCTGTTACTGCTTCCACATAGTCATTGATAGATGGAAGTTCTGAAATAGAGGTGAAAGAGAGCCATTTGGCTCGGTCCAACTTCCACTGTGGCACCGTGGGTCAATGTCACACCTCCCCCCCAAGAAAAACCAGAAGAGAGAAGGTGGTGATCAGAGCATATACTCCACAGAACGACCCCTTCCATCAATATCAGCACCACCCCAGAAGGAATTGTGTCCATTAAAGTCTTCCAGGATTAAAAAGGGAGGCGACAACTATTCTATGAGAGTATCAAGGTCTGATTGATAAAATAAAGGTATGTATTTATTCAAATCAACTGGAAAACCATCAAATGCATGCTTACAGAATAAGGATCTTTTCTCACTTGAACTGGTTTTAATTACCATCGAAAAATTAAATCAAAGTAAAAACGATACAGCATTAGACATTTCATTCAAAATTGAAGTTACAACATTCGATTTACCAGTAGGCAGTGCCAGACGTAAGTTATGAAACATTACTCTTG